TTCTCGAGAAAGGGAAGCGCTGGCTTTCGTTTTGCAGCTTCTCAGGTAGTATGTTGCTATACCTCTTACACACCTATACAAGTTCAAAGCACGAATGAGAGGCTGTGGCTTGCTGTGCGTGTGTAGAGGTTCTCAAGCGGTTGGCAACTACACCTTTCCATTCAGATGATGCAAATGATGCATTTGGCATTTCTTGCATCACCACCCCTCAAAAATCACCTCCAACACAACCTCAAAAAACCTTCCCTCGGAGCACCCTCCTCCCCCAGCATGTGCTGAGTTGACGTGTCCCTTTCTCGGGCCACCCGCCCAGACCCCCTAACTACTCACTTCGTTCGCCAGACACAACTCCGCTAGCGCCTTCTACGAAGGCTGGCTTTCGTAATTTCAATACAACATCTTCTCATCTCCAAAAGGACAATCACCTTAAACAACACTAGGTTAGGCCCTCAGCACTGAAGGCCTAAAGGGGTCCGAATGTTCTGCCAGTTCTTTGGGCAGGTCAGCGGGTTGTGTCAGTGGGTCAAGAAATCACACCACAGCAGCGACAATAGCCACACCAAGGTCATGTGAAAAGTGCATGAGCAAAGTTATGTGTGTGTCAACCTTTTTGGAGCCAGTTGGAGTAACAACTTCTTCACTTGGTCATGCCTTCCAGACTGATTCTGCAGCAACTACCATGACTTTTAGAGCTACTGCAGTTCACCAGTGCTGGCGTCTATGTATAGGTCGCTTCGGACGTGCTGACAGGAAGCTGAAGTTGAGCAAGACCACATCACATGTGTGTTCGAAGCCATCTAAAACAGGCATTGATGTATCAGAAAGTGCGAGATCACCCCACCAATGCTACCCGCCCTTCCACCAGCAGCTCTACAGGCTGCGGGAAAACAGGTGATGAGGTCCTAAATTCGTGGTAGATTGTCATATGAGCGAGAGTGAACTTGTTATACGGCTGGAGGTGATCAGGAATTGGTGAGTGTATTGATTTTTTATCGGAGTTCTTATCTTGCAAATGAAGACTTGGCATCACGTACTCTTGCTCCTTCGTCGGCAATCATTCAAAGTCTGCGGCGCCCGGTAATAGTGTGACGAACAGCGGAGGAATACAGATTGGTCCGGTCATGACGAGACAACCCAAACACGTAGTTACGTAGATGAAGGCTCGATAACCAAGCCTATAGCAACAGGTTTCTTGGCCATGGCAACCCCAGAAAACAGCTACAACTTTCTGGACAATGTTCCAAAAGAAGCTTCAAGCCGCCACAAACCGTCAGGAATTATTATGTGCAGCTCTGTCCATAGTTTGGCTGCACCTCACTCTCTGCTCACCTATGGAACCAACCTCGGCAAACAATGATAAGTGATAAACATCTGCATTCCAATCATTGTGGAATCATGGTGGCGAGGTCAACGAACGTTTATGTACTTATGAAGAATGTTGGCTTTCTTTGTATGATTTTCTGTGCATATACACAATTATAGCATGCTGGAGCAGTTAGACTCTCTGAGCAACAAAACATAACAAAACACATGTTATAGAATCCAAAAGGCTGTCTCATGTTTATTGGTACACACGCATGTCATCTCCATCTCCTTCCTTTGTAGTAACTTGGAGGGCTCGTGCGTCGTTAGTCCTTTGTAATGTAACTTTGCTATTTGTAACTTGATCTCATTCCCCACAACATCCCAAAACCGGGTTTTGCCGAAACCTGAATGCACATGCAGTGATCATCAGTGATCTCCATATTCCTCGGGTGTTGCCATCTTCATACTTGTCAGATGTGATGTTCACCTTTTGGTTTGTTGGATACCCGTCTCCAGGGTAACATGATCCTCGAGTGAATATCTGATGAGACAACATAGTTGTTCTGCATGACGCATAACAAATCCCTTAGAATCTTGAAACAATGAAATTGTGACTTCCATAAACGCCTTGATTGCCCATCATGTCCGTTGCTTTCCAAAGCACCACATCATCTTGATGTTCAAGTTCATTTTGGAGCTTTCCCACACAAGATAGCTACTTCCCATGCTTTCTTACGTTGGCAACTACAGAGCAGTTAAAACTTGTTTCATGCTTTGACTTCTTGTCATTTATTCTGACTGCTTTTGGAGCAAGAAGAACGCACGTCCAACAAAGAAACATCCAGCGGAACAGCGCGGGTCGTCCATCGTCCCTTTTCCGAACAACATCTGCCAAGAGGCCCCGTCCGACCCGCCAATTTTTTTCGCGGACCGATTGCACTCGAGACGAGCCCACTGACCGAGGTGCTGTAATGTCCACACCAGGACGGTCGGGTTGCCGACCAGTAAAGAAGCTCAGGGCACAGGCCTGGCCGTGACACATGAAAGCTCCTGTGCTTGGAACAGGCGCAGGCCTTCACATAGATAGAATATAGACATATATGAACTATTGTGGCTTGTTGCTCGGAACTATCCAAGCTTTTGCTTGTGCGACACCAAAAGCCAGTGGTCTTAGAGAAAGGTGGGGGCAACCAGTAACAAACGAACCCACAGCGAAAGTCTTCAGGTCTCTAGGACTCTAGGTACCAGGCAGCTCAAGAAAGAAGCAGGAGGCTCCCTCAACCCTCGCATAGTCACGACCTATACTCCAAGGGCACTTCCTCCACCCCCTCTCTCCAACATCCCCGAGCCAGGCCTAGAAGAGCTCGGAGTCGCAGTGACCAGCACCAGCACCAGACGAAGAGCTGGAGGACCCGGAGCCAGAAGAGCCAGAGCCAGAAGCACCTGAGGAAGAACCTCAAGGTGCGAGAACCAGGGTTCTGCGAGAACCCCGAAGTGGTTGAGAGATCATGGCCAAGCATCTTACATGTGTGAAAACAGGAAAAATAAGGGCGCAAAAACCAATGTGAACATGTTTCGGGCCATCATTATTCATTCATCATTATCCTGATAGATCCTTATAGTATGTATTCAAAGTATTCTTATTCACCTTGAATTCTTATTTATAGTATTAGAGCTTCTTTCGACTTCCTGAGCCACGAAGCATCAATTTAATTTCTCTTTGCACCACCAAGGAGCTGCCTCCTTCGCCGGATGGACCCGGAGGGCCGCCCATGGCTTTGGTGGCCTGGCGAGTCGGGAATCGCCAAGGAGCTGCCGGAGCTGCGGGCAACGCGTGGATAAATGGAAGTCTGGAGATATTAATTCATGAAGAGCATTCCGGACCGGACCTGGAAGAGGGATTCATGAAGGGGCAGTATGATGAACCGAATAAATAATCATAGATATCTATATTCTAATAATTGATGAGGAGCTGGTTCCACACCACGATCTTTGGTTGTTCCCGATGAACTCCTCATATGTCTCACTTATCCAAAGCTCTATGGCACTGGGGTTGGACTCCCATAGTCGAATACACAGCCAGCTCCCAAAATATTTCAGTGGAGTCATAGTGGGAGGACAGTCCAAGCAACTGGCAGACTGAAATTACTGTCGGCTCACCACTTAAGAAGACGAGAAAAAAAGGGCCTGAGAACACACACTCCGACATTGGTTTGCAGTTAACTCAATTCCCAGGTCAAAAAAACGGCGAGGGAACAGCATGGCGAGAGGGTCTGTTCACTTGAAAGGTTGAACAAGTTGTTTTGTGTGACTGCAGAACGATCAGCGCGGCTGCACATCAGCGGTGGGGAAAGATGTCTAGGGATCTATCATGCAAGGACCATGGAATCAAGAAGTGGAAAAGTGGAGTAACAGCTTGGTCAAAAGTTGGTCGCAGGTACACAGATTGGCGTCCCAATCTGCTTCACGGAAAGTCCACAGCTGTCTCCGTTGGCAGCAGAACTGTGGATTCCCTGCTGCCCCCTGCGACTTGAAAGTTGAGAAAAAAACATAGAAAAAACAGAAACTCTTAGTTGCAGAGGTGGACACACACACACACACAAAGAGCAGTTTCATATGCTTCTCCCCTGTGACCTCCGGGCAGTCGGATGTCCTGTGCTGTTTGTGGTGTTGGCTGTTGATGATTGCTACATGGCCCTGTCCGCCATGTAGAAACCGGCTCGGCTCCGGGGGACTCACTAGGGCCTAGGGGACTGCAGTACGACAAGTTGGTGTTCGGTGTTCCTGTTTCTGGTGAAGTACCGAAGGCATGGTGAAGTACAGTACCGGGTTAGGGAGAATTCTTGATCCTTCAAAGTCCACTCAATCACCATACCGAAGCTCCTTAGGTCAAATTGGGTTACGCCTTTTTCACGGTGGTACTTTCAGATTACACCTTCAGATTTTAGTTAGGATATGTCGGGCCTACTCATCCATGTGTGATTAAAAGTATTCAACCCCCAAACCCCGTCTCAAAACCAGCCTGCTCCGTCTGGCGACCATTCACATAGAGAAAGCCCCAGACCTGCAGTGTTCAAGACAGGTAAACCACATGAACATACATACTACCGCTGCCAGGGATCAGAATCCCCCTTTCAATCCCCATTCTGTTTGGTCTAGTCACAACAAGTTATGATTTACAAAGCTGTTCTTGTCTTCTGTCTAACTTTCAATGGTTCTTGTCTTCTGGTAGTAGCTTGCATCCCTCTAAGGTGTAGACGATGAGCAGGTCCTAACTTTCATACTCATAAAATTCATCAACACCACCGGTCGGGGAATTAGTTAGCTGGTTATCATTACCCGTGGAGGCTTCCATGTTGTGCGCTTTTATCTCTTTTGACCATGTTCAATCGTTCATCTCCGGCTGAGTTCCCCGGCAGCGAGAAGCAGGAACATGAAGAGATGCAAGGGCGACATGCCGCTGTTCACCACGAGCCTGGTGGACGCGGTGTTTGAAACGGTGGGTGCAGTTGAACCTCAGGTCCAATACCGTCCAAGAGTCGAAAGAAAGCGGACACCTGAATCTGCAGGGAGTGTGATCTTTGAGCTGCGTCAAGAGGGACTGTGATCATACTTGATCCATTTGAGGGTTTGAGAAGACCACCATCATCGATCATGCTTCATTCTGCAACCAAAACTCGCACAAAACAAAAATGCTAATTCCCTTCAACTTCAGCCCAATCCTTTCCAGGGTGAACTGAACTGCCAAAGCAAAGGGACTTCAAAAAGAAACCTGCCAACTCTCCACGTGTCGCGGCTCGTGTGGAGAACTCCATGGCCAGGTGTGTAGAGACGAGACGACGAAACGCACCCTGGGAGACCCCACGTGTCGCTCGTGTCAAGGTCACTGATGGTGTGCATATTGGACAAGCCCTCCATGATGCTCTGCAGATTGGCACCTGGGCAACCCAAGGTCAACTGAATGAATTACGTCTGGAAGGGATCCATGAGGATCCATGGGTTCCCCCCTTGGGTGGCTGGATCTCCGTATTTTTACACATAGCGCTGACGTTGTGGAAGCGGGTGGCCAATCACAAGCACTACATGGATCCAGCTCCTGGACTGTAAATCCAGCTCCTGGACGACCGGTGTCTCTGCGTGCGACAGAAGTAGCTCCAGCTCCCTCGGTCTTCTTCGCAACACCATCCCACAGCTGAAGTGGGTTACAGCTGGGTGTCAAAATGATCAAATAATACCAGGACCCTCCTGTCGGGGTGTCTATTTATAGCCCCTTAGCTGTTATAAGGGGTGTCCGGGTCCTGGTATTAAAAGTCTTCACCTGTTGATGTGAAGAGATCTGGTCACAGGTGAATTGCCGCAACCGAGGCATGGGAGTGGTGGTTGTTGCAAGAAGATTGCTGACTGCAGAATTGACAAGACATCAATGTGGCTCAAGAGGACATCATTCCTTAGGTCTCGGTCTTGTAAATGTTTTTTAAAAGCCAGCGTCACACCCATGGTTGGAAGCTCAAAGGCCAACATCTGCCCTCCTCACGTGGAGATCGGGCCGGGCCCTCGGGCTCTGAGAGCGGATGAACTCGCACACCTGCGGCACACACTGAGGCGGCCAGAAGGCGGCCGGAAAGCTGACGAAGAAACCCAGCTTCCATGGGCTTTCTGTTGATAAAGACAACCCAGAATGGAGGTGCCTCAGATTTTGCTGAAACACAGAAACATGTCTTTTCGTGAAAAGAATGAGTAGCTCGCAGCCACCTTTGGCACCAGGCACCATCAGGTTTTCATCATGCGAGGGAGGTATATATATTCATCGTGCCGTGCCCGTCAGCTGAGCCCAGCTTGCCCAGCTGAGGCCCTGGCGCAATCCCATGGGCTGGACATGATTTTGGCCTCAGACTTCGATTGTTCCAGCATGGAACGGGTGCAGCTGATGAGGATGGATCCATGTCTGGTCTAAATAGGAGAATACCATGCCCAGACACTCCATGTATGGAATAGATGCCTACATTGACTTCTCAAGCAACCCCAATGTAGGTTGTTTTTTCCTTACATGGAGTGTCTGGAATGGAAAACTTCTGGGTGGATCACCTGGCTTGTCTTGACTTCATTTCCCAAAGGCCTTAAGGATCTTAAAACGGTTTGAGATGTGGGAGCCAACTGTGCTATCGGCTATCGGTCCTTCCCAACGATTGGATCCAATGCATGACGAAGCTACGCCATTTGCCAGGGGGCATGACTGTGGAGAAGGAGATTCGAAAAAGATATCATTACCAAAACAAGTGTTGCGCATCTGAATGAAACCACATGTTGATGGAGTGCTCCAAAAGACAAAAACCGTGTCATTCCAAGAGATGCGTATCTAAATCACAGCTAATCATTTGCTAACAAACAGCTGGTTTGAGGCAGAAAGAATCATCTTCCTTCGTCATAGCTTGAGCACGTAGCGGTGTCAGTATCTGGAATATCTGGATCGGGTGCGACCAAGCGAAATCAAACAACGAAAAGAACCAAGCATGGCCATGTCTAGAGAGGACACAAAAGAAAACGTCTCCCCTGGCACCCAAAAACATGACAAACTGAGACCTACAGTGACCTACAGCTGGAGAATTAATCATGAATCATGCTCCACTCTCTCCACACTTCCTTCAGGTCCCGGCTGTGGAGTACAAAAGATATCACAGTAGATCACAGTTGGAACATGTTCAAGCTGAGCAGCTTTGAGCCAAGACATGCAACATGCATTTTCTCCCATGAGTTACGTCCGTTATATTTAATCCATTGGTGGTTTGCCCAGTTTGCCCGACGTCTGGTGATGCTATACTATACACGCATTATATCTTCCTTGTAGGATAATTACTTGCTTATAGTAGTTCATGTTGCTTGCATGATGCAGTCGACCTAAAGAAGTTGGTTGGACTGCATGACTTCCTGCATGGTTCCCCGTTCCGACATGATTGGCTGGTGGATTCCCACGAGTCCAAAAGCACCAGACTCCCAACAAGCACGGGTGGATTCCCACGGGTCCAAAAGCACGGGTCCGTTTGGGGCTAGGCTTGACTAACCCTGCAAGTGATCCTCCAAAGAAAACACTCCACTTTTTCGCCACGTCCGCTCAGAGGACATGCAGCGACGTGGGGTCTGTGGCAGGACGACACAGCGCGTACCGTTCTCAGGTGGCATGACACGAAGACAAACTTCACCAAACTGGCAAGGTTGATGTGGGGTGAAACGGTCCTGACCCTAGCTCATCCCGTTGACTGTAGGGCTGGGATAAAGGCCCCCCTAGTCTAGCACCCAGGGATTGAGCCCGGATCTGACGCATGAGGGATGTGTAATAGCCACGGTCCGACCATACCGGCCCTCAACTGGCAAGGTGGTGATTTGGGACTATGGGACTATGGACCCACTATGCACCCTTGGACCTGGGGTTCCAAACATATACTAACACCGCGGTTTAAATGATGATATGATTCCCTTGTTCCTCATAGACTGGCTGCGGCCCTGGAGCCACTGGGGCAACATGCCTTCTATCACGCAAGGTCCTCGTGTCTTCAACTTGTCATCAAACACTGGGTCCAGGAATCCGGAAACAATACAACCTGAGAAGCTGCAAAACGAAAGCCAGCGCTTCCCTTTCTCGAGAA